ACCAAACTGAATATGGTTTAATTTAATTTGGTTTCATATGCATTTACAGTCATTTTCTAGGAGAATGATGTGTAGGAAGACAATGTTTCTAAGTACCAAACTTGGACTTTAAAACAATACTATTTTTAGATTACTAAATATGGAAGATTATTAATAGCAGTAACATTGGAAGCCATTTTCCCTCAACCCCTGCCATTTATTTTTATGGTTTATCTTTCTCTCCTTTACTTTTAAATTTGGCAGACATAACCAATGTTTCAAAACATAAAAACATACTAGGTCATTCAAATAACTGAAAGAGATTCTGAATCCATGTGATGATTTTAGAACACCTCATTATATTTACTTTTACATACTCATTACTACTGATCACCAGTATCAACAAAGGAATAAAATCCAGAAAGAAAGGGAAGGCAGTTTTTATCTGAGATAAAAAGTAAGTACAGACAATTCTCTTGCCAATGGTTAAGAGTTATGGTAGCAAAGAGCTCTGATTCTCATGTAGAGAGCACCCCTTCTTCCACTTCCACCAAAAGAAATGACACAAACTAACACTAATTCCAGTCATTTTGTTTTGTTTCAGAATATATGACTTATACTATACAAAGTAGTATAACAAAAAATAAGTTCTCTTCTGCAGAATAAGAATTAATGGTCACTTGAGGCAAATAAGACAGGCTACTTCTCTTTGCCCTTTAAATTAAAATACTATGAGCTGAGGCCATAAAATCTACATGGTCTTCAAAAGAGTCATCATAATTTTCTTCAGATTATTTTGACAGTTCCACAATTTAATGAGAAATAACATTCAGGCAATTATTTAATAAGTCTCCCATGAATTACAGCATGTCTGATGCCACAACCACAACTCCCAAGATTATGATAACTCTCTGAAAAGCACAAATAAAGCAAATTTTATATTAATCTGCATAAGCAATAAAGGGCGGAAAGTGCTGACTTTTAAGGAAACTGAATAAAACCTTCGCACAAGGAGAACAAAGATTATGTAAACCACTCTCTATATATCTTATATGCTGAAGATCAGTCTAATCACCACCTATAAAATATAAAATTTCCTAAATGCTCTCAAGATTTTAGATACTTCTTTTACAGGCCATTTCTTCTAAAAAATGACAATAAAAATAGTTTAAAGTGTTCACTTTCTTCTTAAATTTCCATAGCACTTTTCAATAACATGCCATTGTGTCATCATCATCTAATTTGAAAAATAGTAGAAGAGGTGACTAGGATAATAAACATAATTTAATCTGGTTATCAGGTAGAGAAGAAGCTAAGTTAAAACAAAATAAAAAAGATCTCTAAACTTCAGTATACTACAAACACAGAAACATCCACACTCCTCTATGAAGAAGAAAATATTACTTATATACCCAAAAAAGGCTCAGATGAGTTTCATATGATGGAGACCAAACATCTCTATATTCATTGCAGAAGTTAATAAGCAATACTAACTTGAATGACTATAATTTCAAAATAAAGGTGATTTACTGAGCACCTGAAGGGAAAATGGAAAATTTTTTGAGCTGCGATCAAGACCTGGTCTAACATTGGTGACGATATTGAATAAGAAATAAATAAATTACATCAGAGACAAAGTAATAAGAGTTAAAGAACTTGGTATTAAAAATGGAACTAGACCCAGAAAAGAAAGATTCTGTCAGATAACTCTGGCTTTCCATCATATGTAATATTGGAAAAATTGAAAATATAAAGTTTTTTTTACACACACACACACACACACCCACACCCACACACACAACAATGTGAACCAAGGAAACTTTGGACTTTTATACTGCTTGAGTCAATCTATTCCATGGAAAAGGCAGAGGGGCAATTAATTATTACCATCTGGGGTGTTTTTACCCATGAATTTTAATATTTTCCAGTAAACGGAAGGCACTTGCTTAAATCTCTATCTACACATCCACTAGACCAAAGTCATGATGTGATCAATTGTATCCTAATCCGAAGAAAGTCACCTCACACAAATCTTGCATAATAACTTAGGTAAAATACCTGGTCGATGAAGTCTCTTCCTCACTCCTCTACCCAGCATGTATGTTGTTGAGGATTATCAGTTTCTGTGGTGCTGATTTCCAAGAAATTAATTATAAAAAAAAACAAAATGCTATACTACCAAACAACTGATAGTACAAATTATGTAGACTAGTCCTAATGTAAAAATCAGAACATATGGTTTAAAGAGGAAATTATGCCAAAACTTAATAGTGAGCTGTATCTGATGAATGAGCTCATATGAACTAGGAAACAATACTCTCATCACTGACTTTCATTTATTTCAGAAAAAAAACCCCAACAGGATGCCCTTACTAGTGTGTATATAATTTTCTGGAAGAATGAGTGTGGCAAGATGGAAAGAAACCTCATTTACGTCCATCTATTCTTTTCAATGTCTTTTACATGACAGACTATTTCTGGCAGCATTCTTTATAATACATCTGCTCAACAATTAAAATATAGGTACAAACATGAATCTAGAAAGCAAGTAAAATAAGATTCAGAGTTGTTTTCCCCTACATGTTAATTTACCATCTCTATACTCTAGCAGCTAGAAGACCAAAAACGTAGGCAATCCTTGTTTCAAAGCAAACACAAAGAGGTTGAATAAGACTACTGTTAAGGGTTTTATTCTATAGCACTCAGTTACAGTTCTGGCTCAATAGCTGAAAGGTAATTTCTCCAAAAAAGAATTGCTATACTGATTGCCATAAAACAAGGAAGACATTCAGTAGTAAGAAATGCAGAGCTCTTATTGCAAGAGGATGAACTGGTTTTATTTTTAACTCCTTTAAAAGACAAACTTTACCTAGTGCTATCTCTTACTGAGGTGTCCAGATTTAACTTCATTTATTCTTCTGCTCTAAATGCAGTACTAAAGTTTTGAAAGTGGCTACCTAACCAGTTCCTCTCAATATGGTGTTTTAAAGATCAAAGACTTCCTATGGAATAATTACTTTTCTAATGTAAAATATGCATGGTGATACCACGGAGAATAAAGAAGAAATTGAGAAGGAAAGAGGAAAGGAAGCACAAGTATTAATTTAGGGAAAGAAAAACTACCTGAGAGAAACAGTTTCCCAGAAATGTCAGGGTTAAGCAATACGAATTTTCATCTCTTTACCCTGTCGTTCAAAAATTCCTAGATTTTTACTAACTTCAAGGGACCAAAATCCCTGGCTGCATATTTTGTCTTAATAGAATAATGAAAATTGCATCTTTTGTTATTATTTGGTTCATGTTTAAAAAGCTAAGATATAAACTTCTGATTTTATCAGAGTAGGGAGAATATGCAAGTGTCATCTTTGGTAATAATGGGCTATGAGCTATAAAAGTACATAATGTAAATTATAGGAGGCATACTTTTTTGATCTGTAGCTTTAATATAAAATAATTCATTTCAATGCATGGTTATTTACGTTCACGAATTTTTCCACGGCTCCCCTAAAATCTAGTTAGCATATTCTGTAATAAAATTCTTCAGTGTTAAACACTACATATATGTATCAATGGATCAGTAATAAGATAATCAAAGAATGCTGTGAAATTCAGCATCAACATGTTAGCAGCATACTGCATCATTAAGCTTACAGGCAAACTTGCAGTTTATTTTGTAAAGATTTTTTTTTTCTTCTTGATGGTGGTGGTGGTGGGTAGACAAGGGATGAGAAAAGTGCTATCCTAGACGTCTAACCTAGACATGTGCTCACCTAGACTTCAAAAAAATCCATTGCCTTCAAGCTGAATCCCAACTCAACGTGACCCTAATCAGACAGGACAGGGCTGCCACACAGGCAGAATGGCCCCACAGGGTTTCCGAAGCTGCAACTCCTAACACAAACAAAATGCTGCCTCTTTCTCTTGCAGACAGTTGACTGGTTCTAACTGCCACCATCTGGTAAGCAGTCTAGCACTTAACCACTGAGCCAACAGCGCTCCCTTAACTTAGACTACATGCCCTTACAAAGAATTCATCTGTTGTTTTGTGTTGAACAATATTAGGATTTGGTGTTTCTAATTACTATGGAAGCTGCTACTCACACAAATATTTTAGGCAAGTTTGTTCTTTGTTTTTTTTAAAAGGAAAGCTTATGTCTATATAAAACTGGGTATACCTTACTGAAGTTCTGTCTGAAAACAAATCCACCAGTCAGCCTGTGAAAGGGCTAAATAAAGTAAGAGATTTCTTCTCAGGTCACACACTGGAAGCTTACTCTATAATCTTCCCTTGAGGACCATGCTCCATGGCCTTTTGGAAGTTCACAAATCAACTCTCTTAAACCAAATTTGGCTTTATAATAAATATTAAGGGAGAACCTGAATAATAATATGATAAGTAAATGCAAAAAATAAAATAGTGATTGTTTGAATAGGGCAAAAGAATTCATCCTCAAAATGTAAATTCTAATTGACCACTCAGTAAGCAACCTACATGGCACACAAAAGCCTGTGAGACTTCCTACGTGGGAAAATGTGTTTTTCCTGAAAGAAAAGAAATAAAAATTTCATCATGAAAGGAAATAGGAAAAAAGTATAACATTATACAATTTGTCCACTCTCGGTTTTTGTTGTAAGCAGTGCTTTGTAAAGGTATGCTAAATTTGAATACTTTAAAGGTAAACTAACATGAAGTGAAAGGAATCTCTAGTATAGAATTCTTTAAACCTTGAACTCACCGATGGTCTCTTCTGCTCTGGAAAACATTCGATTGCTCGGAATTTTTAAGAGTGCTTTCAGATTTCCCTCCTGCCTAGTTCTATTTTCGAAACCTCTTCGTCAAAAGCCAGACCAAGTGAGATGCTGTTGCCCTAGCTTCTCATTCTGCTAAGTGTCAAAGAGGCAGAAAATTGAGACAGGAGGAAATAGAACCAAACTATCTAAAAACCTGCTGATGACCGTAGGCAATTCCGTAGAACAAGCAGAGGTTACAGTAGATTGAAGGATGGAGCAATTGCTGTGGAGCAAAACCTTTTCTGTTTCTTAGGTTCACCTTTATCTTCAATGTAACCCCAAACAGTCTAGGCTCCTGTGTGTTGAGCCTCTAAGGAATGAACTATTTTGCCATTTACATTACGACAGACCATTTTTCAAAAACTGACATATATAAAACACGTAGGGGAGAGATGGGTACAGACTGTCTTAGCTAACAAAACTCTTACTATACAGTACATTGACTCAGTTTACTCGACTCTCTCACACCTGCACACACACTTTAGCACACATACAAGACATAAAAATTGTGCAAGATCAAGCATCAGCTTTCTATTTTAAAAGCTGTAATTAAAAAAAAAAAGTGGATAGGCTCACCGCAGGTTCTTTAAAGTAATATTCAGGACAACAGTACTCCTTTAAAAAAATTCACAACTCAGTGTTAAGAACACAGTAGGTAAGTGCTGTTTTACAATTACATAACTTTACAGAGAATCCAGTGCCAGCTATGGATATCAGAGATAAGGACCACCTGACAACGTAAAGGAATCATCTCTAAGTGATGTCACCAGCGCTAGCAAATCTTGTAGTAACATTCACTATGACACGTTATTAGTCATCTTTGCTTCATGATCACATGACCTAATATCGTTTTAGGTTACATACTGAGGAGCAGCACCAGCCCTACGGCACAGCGAAGGCTGCCCACATGGATGCGCTAGAACCCCCTCAATGTATAGCTGAGAGGTTTTGTCCTACTCAGTGCCAAATGTCTGCAATGCAGTCGCTACCTGGCCACTGACTGCATATTAGTAGGATTAAATAAATGGACAAAGCACCCCCTTAAAATGGTTGGAAGGTACTTCTGCATTCAAATGTGGAATACAATAACCCAGGAAATGGAAGAGGAGAATGAATCCTTGGGTTACTGATTAAAGCAAGGTTTGATACAGATAACCCCTCTTGTAGGCACTCAGTGGGTAGAATGTAGCCACCACGAACTTCCCATCAAACATCCTTCCTGTAAGCAGTTTCTGAGCAGCTTTGGAATCACCAGCATTTGCATACTCAACAAAGACCTGTGTAAAAGGGCAGAGAAAACAAAAGGGATTCCATTTTCATTAAGTTATTTTAGAACACAGTTTCTTCAACTTTAATGCATATATATTATATTATATAAGGATTCCATGAAATGAAAACCATGTTTCAATAAGTCTCTGGTGAGGGTTGAGTTTGTGCATTTCTAAACAAATTCTCAAGTGACACCAACTTTACCAATGGTTCACACTTTTGAGCAATACGGTTTATAAAACCACTGGCACTGAGCAGATTCTAAGTCATAGCAAACTTAGGATAGAACAGCGCTGTCCTATTGGGCTTCCAAAGTTGTAATCCTTATGAAAGAAGATTGTTGTATCCTTTTCCTGTAGAGAGGGCTGGTGGATTTAAATTGACAACCTTCCTGTTGTGTGCTTTACTCATGGCTCCTTAAGATTTGGATCACTTTGCTTAGTCTTCAATTCTGAAAAACCTACCAAAGACAAGTTGCGTAGAAAAGGTACAAAACTTTTAGCCAAGTTCCAGTAAGTCTACCAAAATGACTTATCCTTGGTTACCTTGTAAGCTGGTAAATAGCCAAAGAATTACTTCTCTTTCTTCTGTTCTACTGCTTCACTGGCTACAGCAGTAAGTTTCAAGTTAGCCTCCGACCATCCTAAGACACTCGAAGATTTTCCAAAGGATACAGAAATAGCTAATTTGAAGGATATAAATTTCTAGATACTCAATATAGATCTGTACCTTCAACTAAACTGATCTGCCCAGGAGTTGAGATGGGTCATCCCTTTCATCGCTCACTATAAGCAGCCCTGTCTCATTTGACAAAACAAATTACTTTCCAAGAGCCTTCCAGGACTAAAAAGGAGAGAAACTAAAAAGACAGCACTATGTCTTTTTTTTTTTTATTTATTTATTTTTTAATTCTTAAAATATGTATTTTATATCAGATCTACAGCTAATGATTTGACTAAGGGCAATATAAATGACTTATGTTTAAGTCATTAGTTTGAGAAATTCTTTCCTAGTCAGGGCAAGAAGCAAAACTTTAAAGAAAGTAGAAAAGAATGAAAAGGAAAAGGAAACATCAAAAATTTTTTTAACCTAATTTGAAACCTCTTAAAAAAATTCCTTAATCAGAATCTTTGTAAATACTGTGAACTTATAAATACTGTGAACACGATAAAGAATGTGAATTTGTTTGAAAAACTAGTAATAGCTATATTTACATTTTTTTGAGAAACTTTCCTTCATGGCCAAGTAACATGCTGTATCTTCCTTTTTGCTTCTGGGGGCTTCAAGTTATCCATCGGTTCCGCCTCTTCTTTAGGAGCAACTCGCTTTAACTTGACTGGTGTCGTTCCAACGGGGGCTATCAATGGCAATTTCACAGGGTCTGAAGAACTTTTTCTAAGTGTTAAGTCATGGTTCTGCTTCGGTTCATTATTGTGTTCCATTTTATTGTTCACAGGCAAATTGGAAGACAAAATAAAGGATGAAACACCTGAAGAGGAATCTGATGATTTTCGAAAGGCATTATTGGTAGAGCTTGCCTGAGGGGGCGGCTTTAATCGATCATTATCTCCATTCTCTGTCTTTTTCACTTTTATGCTTGTACTTGTTGAACTCCCATCAAAAACAATGAGAGGTCTTTTCCTTAATCCGTCTACAGTGGTACTCCTTTTAATTTCATGTTTTATCTCATGTTGTTCTCTTTTCTTTTCCATCATTTTCCCCCATCTGTTCTTTGGTAAATCTCTCTGAGGCAATGGTATTGCATGCTGGACATAAAGATCAGTGAGATTGTCTTTATTTATTTTTATGTCATTTTCAACAGTTATGTTCTTCTGCTCCAAAGTAAGAAGAAGAAACTCCTGGGACAGCAGCTCCGGGTGCAACAGCAGCTCCGAGTCTGTGCAGCTTCTACCGCCAACATCCCCCGCCATCGCTGTCTCTTTTTTTTCTTTTATAATGAAAGCCATTTTCATTGACAAAGGATTATTACAGCAAACAAAGGTAAATTAAAACAGACGCGGTATAATTTAATATGAAACTAGATCATTTTATCTGTATTACTTTTCTCTTGACTACATACATTTTTGTAACTGCATGTCCTCAAAAATATACAATATACTTTTCAGCGGTTTTGAAAAGTGTATCAGGTTTATTTAAATTGAAAAATTTTAATGAAGAGTGGCAATGCCAACTAGATTGCACAGATTTTCAATAACCTCAACGAAATTTGAAGGAGCTCTAAGTGGCTTATTAGTTAGATGTTGAGCTGCAATCCCGAGGCAGCAGCCCCAGGGAAGAAGGACCTAATCTCCTCCTATATGATACACTGTCTCTGAAAAGCTGCTGGAGGGTCAGCTATGGATCAGCTCTGACTCTGTGATACACAATAACAACAAACATAAATTTGTTGCTACAAGATTTTACCCAAAGCCTCTGTCACTTTGTTTCAAATAGCAGTGAAAGCTCTTCAACATAACAAATTTTCTCTCACTGATAAAGATTTCTTTTCTTTTAATCATCTCACAGCTTTTCCCCTTAAAATGTTCCTTTCCTATGTCTACTGTTTCATTTGGACCGCAGGGTCAGCTTATGTTAATTCCTGGTTCAAAATCCCCCAACACCTTCCTATCTCACTCAGAGCAAGCTCCAGTGTCAATGGCCTATCGTTACTCTACCTGATGTGCCCCCTCGGCTTCCTTATCTCTTTGATCGCATCAACTATTCGCCCCTTTCCCCACTCTTTTAGAACCACTCCTCAAACCTGCCAGGTATATTCAGGGTCACAGATATTGCTCTCCCCTTTCCCTACAATTCTCTTCCTTGCCACTGTCAAATATCAACTGAAAGGGAACCTTCTCAGTATGTTCTCCCCTAGCACTCTACTTTAAACCGCAATCCACCTCACTGCAACATGCTTCCCTAGGCCTCTTCCTTGGACTTTCCTCCACAGCACTTATCACCTGGCTTGATCAATGTTGTGTGCCAAGTGTCCAGAACGTAAGTGATGCTTAGGAAATCCTGACTGAATGAATAAACATCATAAATACACCACTGTCACAAATATTATGTTATTATTAAGGAGAGGGACATCATGTTTGGCAGAGTGGAGGGGCGGCGAAGGAGAGGAAGACCTTTGATGAGATGGATCAATTCTGTGACTTGGAGCAGTGGGAATAAGTGAGTTCGAGATGGCTAGGTTGGCACAGAATAGGAGAGCATTTAGAGCTCTTGTACATAGGGTCGCTATGAGTCGCAAGCAACTCGATGGCACATAACAACAACAACAACATTAATATTATAGTTATACTATTATAATATTATAGTTATAAAAACATTAATATTATATTGATATGTTATATTAATTATACTATACTGGCAATCCTAACTAGAGTGACATTTCTTCCATTTTTTTCCCCACTTGCCAATTCTTGTGTTATTGACTCGTAAGATAAAACAAAAATTCTCAACCAAAGGGACTTCTCCCCACCCTCACCCCTAGGATACAGTTTTAGTTGTTACAATTGCAGAGGTCAAGGGGCTACTGACCCCTAGTGAGTAAAGGCCTGCATTGTTGCTAAACAGACTATAGGTATAAGATAGCCCTTCTCTGCTTGAAGTGGACTTAATGAATACATCATTCATTTGGTGGTATGGTCAGAGCAGATTAAAACTTTTTTTTTTTAGATTAAAACTTTTTAAAAACAAATATAAATGACAAATGTATGAATTTTATTTTACATAGAGTTGTTTTGTTTTTTTTTAAACTTTTTTTTAAATGTTTATTTTATTGTTTTTGTGTATGTGTACCGTCAAATCGGATCTGACTGGTACAGGACATTGTCCCTCCTACACAGAGTTTTAACAACCTCTGAATTAGTCTACAATTATGAAAATATTCACTTACTTGTCCTCTGCCTGGATTTTCCTTTGGAACAAGCAGAGACACCACTGGTCCATATTTCTGACACTCCTCTTTTACATCTTCTACAACATCTGATTATTAAAATAGACAACAAAAAAATTCCTTAATATAACCAATAATATAAGTCATGAGGTTTTCGGTTTTTCTTTCAAGAAGTTGTTTGGTTTTTTTTTAAGAAGTTATTTT